GTTATTCCCCCCTCCCCAAACACCACAGCTCAGAGAATTGAAATCCCTCGTAATATGAAAAAAAAAAATATGTATTCCTTGGTCCTCTCTTAGGAGAGATAAGGCTCGCTGTGCAAAGAGCCTGGGGAGGGATTGCTGGCTTATTGGTTAGCATTAAGCAGTCCTCGGATGGAGGTGAAAGGAAATGACAAACACAACCAGGCTGTGGACGATGTGAGTGAGAAGCCAGGAGGGACTTTCGGAACCAGTGTGCGCTTCGTCAAGAACATGCTCAGCAACGGCTTACGGGGAACGTGTTCTCTCTGCACTTTCCCGGGCGGTGGGTGGGCAGCGGGCTCGGCCGCTGGAGACGATGCCTAGATGGCGTGGCTGGCTGGAGGTGCCCAATGGTGGGTTTGTACCAGCCACCCAGCCACACCTCTCTGGTCCTGGGGAGGAAAAGAGGGTGAGGGGACATGGAGGAGGCCCTCGGGTAGCGTAGTCAGGATGATCATGCTCCTCCCAAGCACCCAGCACCTGCTGCATCCCAGGCACGCCCCTCATGTCATTCTCACACTGTGGCCGTGAGAGGGCTCTTCCCATTGCCATTTTGTAGCCGCGGACACGGAACCCAGCCTGAGCCTTAGCTTTAACCCATCTCTTCTGCTCTGGGAGGCAGTGCCTTTCCTTTCATCTCGCCTTCTTGGCAGAAACTCTGAAAAGAAAAGAAATGAATCCTGCAAAGGAGTGCATGCCCAACCCCTGCAGGCCAGGGCATCCTTCCAACAGCAGAAATCTGGAGAGAGGAAGGGCCGCCAGGGGCTAAGAGAGAGACTTTATAAAAGGCGATCTTATCTTTCCCCTGTCCATGTCTTGGGTTACATGAGCCTCCCAGGAGTGACACGGGTGACTTTTCTGAAGCAAGGTAAAGTCTGGGCCAGTCAATGCGGCTGGTCTGCAGGGCAGGATCCCATTACCTGCGGAGCCTCAGATAGGATTCTCTGGCTGGGCATGGAGCCATGGGGTGGGAGGTGGGGAGGGGCTGGCCTGCTGAGCCTGGGCATAGGTGGAGCGCTCCAGGCCCAGAACAGGAGACAGCCGTGAAGGGGCTAGGCTGGCTCATTCAGCCTGGGATGCAGGCCAGTGTTCACCTTCACCCCAGTCAGGCAGGTAGGGCAGGCATGAGGGGAACGCCCTGGGAAGAAAGGCTCAAGGCTCGTGTCCAATAAACGCCCAGGGACAGCTTGTGGCCTGGGGCTGCAAAAAGGGAAGAGCAGGACCCTCGTACTATGGGGCTGGCAGGTGAGTACTTCTCTACAATGGAGGTTGAGTAATAGGAGGGAGGGCTTCAATTACATGGGCTTTCTTAAGCGTGTTCAATCTGCAAACCACCTGTGACCTGGATGGTACAAACAGGCCATTCAGCACCTGAGCCACCTGGTTACAGAGGCCCCGCCCTTCAACAGCTCATGCCCTCCAACCCCCCATTTCTCTCCTTCTGCTTTCCTTCTCCCCTGCAATGTTACCACCACCTCACTCCTTAGAACCAGGGGAAACATTGGCAAAGTGACTGAAAAAACATACTTCTCTTGACACCTCTAAGAATCCTTTTCCTGATGCTTTCTTGGTTTACAGACAGTCAAGTTTGTCTTGCCCTGCAGCACTTAGCACAGGGATATTCCCAGGGTGGGCCACCAGAAATGCACAGATTCTAGGGTACATACACCCCTTCTCTACCCTAGGAGTCCCGGGCTGGTGCAAACAGTTAACATGCTCGGCTGCTAACTGAAAGGTTGGAAGTTTGGGTCCACCCAGAGGTGCCCCTGAAGAAAGGCCTGGCGATCTACTTCTGAAAAATCAGCCACTGAAAACCCTATGGAGCACAGTTCTACTCTGACACACATGGGGTCACCATGAACCAGGGTCAACTCAACAGCAACTGGCTTCCCCATCCTTGGATCAAAGGCCTGGTTCCTGAGAAGCATTAGGGAAGAGATTGCCTAACATAGCCACCTTTATGTCCCTGAGCCTAGCACAGTGCCTGGCCCAGAGGGAGCAGGGCAGGTCTGGAAACTCTACGGACCAGTCTGAGTCTATGCATACCATGCTCCCCAAAGCACTGATGCCGCCCACACTCCGTAGCACGGCTCCCTTCCTAGGAACTGAGGCCCCTCAGGCTAAGCATCTTGGGCGCTGTTCCCTGTCCTCAGCCTTCTCCGTGGGCTTTGCTTGCCCCAGCCTGCTCCCTTTCTCCCACTTGGCCCACTTCCTCATGCAGCAATCCATCCATTTAAATGAGAGGAAGGGCTTATGCCTGGCTTGAATCTGAATTTGAGGAACTAGGAAAGAAAGGCCCACTGGGAATTACTGGGAAGGAGCATGAGAGAACTTTCTGGATGATGGAAATGTTCTACATCTTCAAAACGGTATGGATTACAGGGGTGTTTGCATTTGTCAAAACTTCTCAAACTATACACTTAAGATCTGCGCTTCTCACTGTATGTAAATTTAAAATTTCTATCTTGACTAAAAACATCTTAGAACAGAATTACCATACCAAAAACCAAACTCATTGCCGTCAAGTTGATTCTGACTCATATCAACCCTATAGGACAGAGTGGAAAAGCCCCATAGGGTTTCCAGGGAGCAGCTGGTGGATTCGAACTGCCGACCCTTTGATTAGCAGCCATAGCTCTTAACCACTGCGCCACCAGGGCTCCGAATTACCATAAAAAAACCCTGTTGCCGTTGAGTCTATTCCAACTCATCACAACCCTATAGGACACAGTAGGAATGTCTTGTATGGTTTCCAAGGAGCGCCTGGTGGATTTGAACTGCCAACCTCTTGCTTAGCAGCCGAAGCTCTTAACCACTACACCACCAGGGTTTGACCCTGCAGTCCCACTCCTAGCCAAAACGTGGAAAGAGCCCAAATGGCTGTCAGTGGATGAATGATAAACAAATTTCTGTATACATACAACGGAGTATTAGTCAGCCGTATAAAGGAGTGAAGTACTGATACATGCTACAAGGATGAACTTTGAAAACAGTATGCTGAGTGAAAGCAGCCAGGCTCAAACCATCAAAACGCGATGTGGTCATCACGTCCAATTCCATTTCTGTGAAACATCCGGAACACAGAAATCCATAGAGAGAGAAAGCAGACGGATGGTGGCCCAGGGCGGAGGGAATAGCGAGAAACTGCTTAACGGTATAGAGTTTCCTTTTGGGGACAAAATGCCTTGGAACTATGCAGAGGTGGTGGATGCATAACATTGTCAATGCACTAAATGTCACTGAATTGTTCACTTTAAAATGGTTCATTTTATTTTATGTGAACTTCACCTCAATGAAAGAATTTAAAAAGATAGACATGGAAAAAAATCAAAATATTTATGCATATAAATTTTTAGATGATCTAGATACATGCTCATCTTGGCCCACCTTTGTGGGCAGGAGGTCCTCCACGGCCATTAACTCTGGGAAGGAGGAGGATGGATTTCCTGGTGTCTCATAAGCAGGCAGCCTGGCCTATGGTGCTCATAAGCTTTGTTCTCCCCGGAAAGCTGGGCTTTACCAGTTACATCAGTACAGCCCCAGCACCACGGCTGTTCTCATGGGACCCCTCATATAACCAGGAGGCTCAAAGGTTACAGAGAACAGCACTTTGACCTGGCTGAGTGGGACTTTTATAACGTTCTTTATAACTAACTCTATCCTCACCTCACCAACATGAGAAGGCATTGTGCTCCCTCTTTAAATACGAGGATGCCAAGTTTCCAACAAGAGTTACTTGCCCAAAGCCCCACTGACTTCCACGCCAGTCCCTCTCGGCTTTCACCTACCAGCTCCTGCTGCGGCACCCCCACTACCAGCAGCAGCACCCTCACCATCTTTGTGCTGGGTACCAGGCCCAGGGAGCAGCACTGCACAGCCCTGCTTTCCGAGAACCAGTGCTTATAAGGCTGGCACTGACATGGGCACACAAGAGTAACATACGCCAGCTCAGATAAGACATGGCACCAGGTGGGGAGGCACACCTACAGTCAGAGGAAGGAAATTCTAGGTGAGGACCCCAGGAAGAGAAGGATGCAATTACAGAACCATCTGGAAGATCAGTGGGGGGTCACTGAAAGTCCCAGGAGGCAGTGCACCCATGAGCTCTTTGTCCTTCCCCAACCTTGTCGGGATTCCCACTCCCCGACTTTTGCACGTGCACTGCGCCCCCAGCCATAATGAACTCTTACCCACATGATCTTATTCTGTTCTCCAACGTTCCCACATGTCTGGGCTGGTGGCCTGGGCCCCGTGTCCCACTCCATGGTTCATTACCAACCGACCACTTGCCCCCACTTGAGTGCTCACTCCCTCTTCCCCACCTCTGAGAATAAAATAGAGCCGGCAAAAGAGGAGGAACACAGCGCGAGTGTCGAGCCCTGGGACCGGGCTGCTGGCCCAGTGACCCCAGGCCCAGGAGGCTCTGACAGCCAGCCTCGGGGGTTATGATGACAGAGGGAAGGGGTTCAGTGCTGACACTTGAATTGCCCACCTTAAGGGCCAGAAAGCTCTGCGGGGATACTGAAGCTTATGCTAAGTGGATGTTGAATCTCTAAAAGGACAGTGATTGAGTGGCCCATGTGAACCCTAAGGGAAAAGTCCAATGCCTTTTTCCTGGGGCTCGGTCCCAGAAAGTCAATCCACAGCCAGGGACGTCCAGGAATCCCTCTCCCTTCGGCCCTCCCGTGTAGGCTTATCCAGTGTGACGTTCATATCCTGACCCCTTAGCATTCTTAAATTGCCGTCTCCTCATATTTTTTATGGGAATTGGGCAACTTCAAGAGAAGTCAGAAAGAACGAGAGAAGGGAGATAAGTTTGCAGTGTTAGAGGAAAGAAACGGTAAGAAAGATGGTAGAGAAGAGGGATCAAAGGGAGGGAGGTGACAACTGAGAACAAGACACGGAGGCGGAGGCTCAGTGGAGGGCGTGGGTCGGGGGACGCTGCCCGGGGACTCAGTACTCACGTGTTGTGGAGCACACACCAGCCACAGTGGGGATCGCCAGAGCCAAGACACTCGCTACAGCTCCTGTACTGACTGCAGGACTCCACCGGCACTCGGGTCAGCTAGGACAGGGCGACAAGGGACAGAGTGGTCACGCCTTTGCAGGACACCCAGTAGATCACCAGAAAGCGATGCTGTCTTAGTTATCTCGTGCTGCTGTAGCAGAAATACCACAAGAGAGTGGCTTTAACAAACAAATTTATTTTCTCACAGTTTAGGAGGCTACAAGTCTGAATTCAGGGCACTGGCTCTAGGGGAAGGCTGTCTCTGTCTGTTCTGGGGGAGAGTCCTTTCCTCAGCTTCGCTAACCCTGGTGTAGTTCCTTGGTGATCTCCATGAGGCATCTTTCTTTCCCCCATTTGTGCTTTCTTCTCTCCAATCTGTGTCCAATCTGCTGTTTTTTATATCAAAACTCATTAGGTTTAAGACACACTCTACAATAACATGACTTCATTAACATAACAAAGATAATCCTATTTCCAAGTGGTATCACATCCACAGGTACAGGGGTTTAGGATTCCAACACCTATTTTGGGGGGACATAATTCAACCCATAATGAATGCTATTCTAAATATCACCTAAAACAAGGTAAGAGCATGAAGATGCTGAGAGCCCCAGAACCTAATTACACGTGGTGATCACATTTGAGCAGGTGGATGCATACGAATTCAGGAGTGATAACCACTTTGCTTAGACATCCAAGAATACAGACTCCATAGATTTCATACTCAGTTGTTACAAATGATATGCATATAGTGTGCCCTTAAATTTCCATACCACCAAAACCTCAAAATATCTCTACCAACATCCAATTCATCACATATTTGCTTCTTACAAATATAATGAACGCAAAGGTTTATTCTTCCCCAAGTCTTGTTTCTCTTTTGTCATAGGGCATTTAGCTTTCTTCCCAGTCCTTCTGCTTCAGGTTCCATCATTCTTGCTGTTCCAGAGAGAACTTAACTCAAGGCCAAGACCCTTTGCTTTCTTTGCCTCTGTGCCTTTTAACAAGGCATCATAAACTTGCTTTGTAGCTGTTACTTGCCCACTCTTTTCTTTCCCATAAAGTTGGCCAACTGGCTCTGGAAGGTTTACACTACGGTGCTTTCAGAGAGCAGCTGTTGCTATTTCTCCTCCTACTCACACTCTTTAAACGAACAGAGGCTTCCTCTCCAACCCCAAACTTTATATGAGCTTGCACCAGCCGCTTGTTAATGTAAAAACGTTCCACATGACATTTCTGCCTAGTCCAAATGCTTCCGTTTCCTGCACGCTTTTAAAGCTCTTTTGAGTGCTTTGTTCTCCGATGTATCCATTCCTACTTAGTGGGTACAGCTTTTCCTTGATGTCTTTTTATGTGACCTCCTAGTGCCTGGTACGTACCAGATGCCGTCGAGTTGATTGCAACTCATGGTGACCCCGTGTGGTTCAGAGTAGAACAATGCTCTGTAGAGTTATCATGGCTGTGACCTTTTGGAAGCAGATTGCAAGGACTTTCTTCCAAGATGCCTCCAGGTGGGTTCAAACCTTCAACCTTTTGAATAGTAACCAAGCAAGAGTTTAACCGTTTGTGCCACTCAGGGTATATACCCAAAACCAAACCCACTGCCATCAAGTGGGTTCTGACTCAGAGCAACCCTATAGGACCGAGCAGAACTGCCTCACAGGGTTTCCAAGGCTGTTAATCTTTATGGAAGCAGACTGCCACATCTTTCTCCCTCAGAGCGGCTGGTGGGTTCGAACCGCTGACCTTTCAGTTAACAGCCAAGCGGTTTAAACACTGCGCCACCAGGGCTCCTTGGCGGCCCTATAGCAGGTACTTACTAACAATATACTGCATCAAGCTGAATTTTTCGTTTCTTTTTATAGCCTTGGTCTTTAGTCTGCATTCCGCCAGCATAGTCTTTACAAAAAGGTGTTTTTTGTTCATTTACTTTCATTTAGTTTTTAAATCATCTTTGCCTAGTTGGGACATATTTCTTATTCATTGGAAGACTTGATCCCTAAGCCTTCAGCTTGAACTAAGAGAATTTGACGTGGCCGTCCTCTTTAATTTTTTGTCATCAGACAACAGGCACAGAAACTCTAAGCCATGCTGACCTGGCCGAGCCCCCTTTGCTTCAGGCGCAAATGCAGAGGTCTTGTTTTCCCTGCTGTTCCATAGGGTGTCTGCACCCCCTTCCCCCCACCCCTGCAAAGGATGCACCACTTAGCGACAGCTAGTTGTAACCTGTGTGCAGGCAAACTTCCACCAGCCTGTCAATCTGCCTCAGAACTCTGTTTTGAAGTTAATAATCATTAATTCTATATCCCACACAATCTTTTTCTCCTTGTATTTTCATTTGTTTTTGTTTTTATAGTCACTTTTTTTATTACAGTGTTTTCTAGTTTTGTTTTGTAGAATGCCAATATCATATCATTGATTTCTTTTTTTTTGAATGTTTATACTAGCTTTTAGTAGCTTTATTCTTTTTTTTAATTGTACTTTAGATGAGTGTTTATAGAACAAACTAGTTTCTCATTTAACAGTAGTACACGTATTGTTTTAAGACATTGGTTAACACCCCCACAGTATGTCAACACTCTCCATTCTCTACCTTGGGTTCCCTATTACCAGCTTTCCTGTCTCCTCCTGCCTTCTAGTCCTTGTCCCTGGGCTATTGTGCCCCCTTAAGTCTCGTTTTGTTTTATGGGCCTGTCTAATCTTTGAAAGAAGGATGAAATAATAATACCTTGTATTATCTTAATGTTTTGGATTTTGTTGAGGGTTGCTCTGTGGCCTAAGATGTAGTCTACTCTGGAGAACGTTCCACGTGCATTGGAAAAGAAAGTGTACTTTGCAGCTGTTCGGTGGAGTGTTTTATATATGTCTATGAGGTCAAGTTGGCTGATTGTGCCCCTTAGCTCTTCTGTATCTTTGCTGAGTTTCCTTCTAGATGTTCTGTCCTTTACCGAGAATGGTGTGTTGAAGTCTCCTACTATTATTGTAGAACTGTCAATTTCTCTTTTCAGTGCTGTTAGAGTTTGTTTTATGTATTTTGGAGCCCTGTCATTGGGTGCATAGATGTTTATTTTGGTTATGTCTTCATGATGGATCATCTCTTTAATGATTATATAGTGCCCTTTTTTGTCTTTTATGGTAGATTTTGTTTTAAAGTCTATTTTATCTGAGATTAGTCTTGCCACTCCTGCTCTTTTTTGGTAGCTGTTTGCTTGATATATTTTTTCCATCCTTTGATTTTTAATAAATTTACATCTTTGTTTCTGAGGTGTGTCTCTTGTAGACAGTATATTGATGGATCTTGTTTTTTTAATTCATTCTGTCACTCTGTCTCTTTATGGGCGCATTAAAGACCATTTACATTCAGTGTAATTATTTATAGGTGTGCGTTTATTGTTGTCATTTTGTAGTGCTTTTTTTGTGGTGGTGACATTTTCTTTGCTCCTCTTACTCTCGTGTCACTGAATTCCTTTTGTTTGTGGATTTTTTTTTTCATTTCTTTCATTTTTGTCGATTTTGTTGTTACTGAGACTTCATGCTTTTCTTCTTGATGAGTAGATTTGTTAACTTTCTTTGTGGTTACCTTGAAATTTACCCTTATCTTCCTAGGTTTGAACCAGTCTATTATTACTTGGTATTGCCTTGCCTTCCTCTCCATTAGAAAGTTCTATACCTACACTGTTTACTCCCTCTTTTATCGTTCTGTTGTTGTTGTCATTTACAGATTAACGTTTCTTGTTCCTTCTTGTAATTCTTTTGGTTTTGGCTAGTTCTTGAGAGTTCATTTCCTAGGTTGGTATCTGGCCAGTACAATCTTGCATCCTAGATTCAGGCTGTGGTCTGATGTTGTTTGTTCTCAGATTGAAGGACTCCCTTTAATAATTCTTGTAAGTTTGGTTTGGTTTTTACATATTCCTTTAATTTCTATTTATCTGGAAATGTCCTAATTTCACCATCATATTTGAATGAGAGTTTTGCAGGATATATTATTCTTGGTTGGTATTTTTTTTCTTTCAAAGTTTTACATATGTTATCCCACTGCCTTCTTGCCGGCATGGTTTGTGCTGAATATTCAGAGCTTAGTCTGATTGTTTCTCCTCTGTATGTGACTTTTTGTTTTTCTCAAGCTGCTCTCAGGATTCTTTCTTTGCCTTTGATTTTAGTGAATGTGATTATGACATGCCTTGGTGATTTTCTTTTGGGGTCTATCCTCTATGGAGTTAGTTGAGCTTCTTGGAAGGTCAGCTTTTCATCTTTCATGATATTAAGGACATTTTCTGTCAGCAATTCTTCCATGATCCTCTCTGTGTTTTCTGCTTTCTCTCCTTGTTCTGGAACTCCGATCACTCAAAAATTTTTGCTTTTAATTGTATTCCACATAATTCTCAGGGTTTCTTCATTTTTCTTCATATTTTTCTCTGATTTTTCCTCAAAAATAGTTGCATCCAAGTGTTTGTCTTCAATTTCGCTGATCTTGTCTTCCATTGCTTCAAACCTGCTCCTCAGCCCTTCTATGACACTGTCCATTTCTAAAATCTTGTTGTTTATCTTTTGGATTTTTAATTGTTGTTTTTCTATGATTTCTAGTTGTGAGTTTATTTTGACATTTTGTTCCTGTATTATTTTCTTGAATT